AATGCAGCTGTTTGTGGCGACAAAACATAGCTAAGATATGATAAGCCCCTAGTAGCGTCCTTGTTCCTAGTAGCAACAAGCACCTTATCGGAGTCCACCGAGACTTGCCTTTGATCTTTTGAGCCCCACAAGAATGATACACCAAAGGAGCGATAAATGGCAGTGTCCTTTGAGTTCTATGTCTATGTTGCTCTTGCATCTCTTGCTCTGAAGACAGCCATGTTCTGGTGGGCCACCCTCCGTGAAAAGTCCTCAGCTTTGCTAGAGGTAAGGTGTGGCTTTGAACATCCTTGTCACTGCCGACATCTGAAATAGATTCATTTCATTCAGCTTCTGGAGCACCCACCTTCCCTGCATTTGAACCAGGATGCTGTGTCGTGAGTCAACAAACACATGCTATGGCGAGGAAGTGCAGGTATGAGAATTCACCTGAAGCCTTGGATCATGTCAATCATGTGGACTTCAACGGGTTGCTTGTTTCTAGTGGTAGTCCAATGGATACCTCGTATTTGGTTCTCACAGATTTTTTTTTCTACCAACAAGGCCTTTCATTGTCCTCAGCTAGTGGTACTGGCTCTGCAAAAGCTAGCTATGATATCGATAACCCAATTTGCGCTTACATGTACAAACTACGTGGTGTGCGTACTTTGGTTTGGCAGGGTGATGGATTCTGGGAAGATACTGCAATACTGCCCTATGTTTGTCTGGTTTGGCATTCATGCATGGTCCGAATTTGTGGTATAATAGTAAACATAGTTAGTTGGTGTTGTTCGGTGTTATGTTTATTTTATGCACATGAATATTAATTGTATGATATAGTATAATATATTATATATATGCAATCATATGCTACAAGTATATATATATATAATACCTCCAACAACTCACACACCCCAAAGTGGCAACTTTTGAGATCATTTGAGTTGCACAGCAAGTTGATTTGTGAATGAACAAACTGAACATCGAAAAGCTCCCTTAAACGAGTTCCCATGCCTCGGCCTCAGTGATTATATAAGTGCCAGTAGATAGCGGCAGTGGTGAATGTCATGATGATTGATGTACTTTAGATTCACAAAACCCCCTCAGGCCCTCAGACTTGCGTCATTTGGCTATATGCGGATTGAAGCACCTCTTCATATCAGGATGTTCATTCTTCATAAATGTCTATCCCTATGGATCCACATACCTTCTCAGAAGGCAATTGGACCCTCCCGGCACCTACATAAATAGTCTCCAATCACCTTCTCAGAAGGTATGTGGATCCATAGGGTATATATGCATGTCTTGATGACCTCACTCATAGCCGCCTCGCCAGCCGCTGCGCTCTTGGAAATCCACCCGCTTTAGCACCGAAAACAGCCTCGAGCTGAACACCGCCGCAGTCTAGGGCTGTATATAGGTCAAACCTCCAGGGCCCCGAACCTCTGGTTCCCCGACTAGTACAGGTCGTCTATTCTGTTCATGGTGCTCCACCAGTTTTCTCTTTTTTCCGGTGCCATATTCCCCCACAGCCCTGCCGCACGAACAGCGCGCGTTCGTGCGCATCCTTTTGAACTCCGATTCCGTCAGACCGATGGCACCAGTCAGACCGGCAACCTGGCGCAGGAGCGCGGATCTCGTGGACGGATGGGCGCTGACGCCGCCAGGCCCGTGGGATGGATGGTTTTTTGGGGGGTCTCCCCAACACATGGAGCAACGAGTGGGTCCACGGGTCTCGCCGGGTCGAAGACATCTTTGCCTACCACACTCAGCTCCACTTGGACAAATCAAAGGATGAAACATACAAATACTATGAAATATGTTTGGTCATGTAAAACTGTACAACAGCAGGCTTTCGAGTTGGATTGTTCTGGTAGCGTCACTAGAACAGCCCAATTTCAAGGAGGTTCACATGATTGCTTTGGGGGGGTTCTGTCTTTGCACATGCGAGAATCCCAAAGTACTGGCTCGGAGAGCACAAAAGACTTGGCGACTTATTATATGTGTACAAAAGATATAACTATATATATATACTGTATACAAAATTACTTGACCAATCTTGACCATACTGGACCACAAAAACGGATTCATCTATATACTTATATAATATGATATATCTAATATATATACATATAAAACTGTATAACTATATAAGTACTACTATATATATAAATGTATTAAGTTCTTTTCAAGTTTGCATACCTTCTCAAAAGGTCAGCTGGACACTCCAAAGACACCTGAGTGCCCTATCCAATCTCAGAAGGACTGTGGCATCCAATCTACATATATAACTAGAAGAAACATAGAGAGTGCCAGGACCTTCAGTTCGTGACCTCTTTGGAGTCTCTAAGTGACCTCTTCAGGGACCAAGTGACCTCATCCTGGGATCTCTTCTGGACGGTCACCTTTTTCAGGGCCTGTTTTTATTCTTCAACAGAAGTGATGAAAAGCGTAGCCCCAATGCTGAGATCTAAGGTCTGCTCACCATCCATACACCGACGCCTCAAAGCGGAATCACCACCCGTGGCTTTGGCTGGTCGCATCGGTCGGCATGGCGCTGGAGCCAGAGTCCAAACTCTGTTCCCCAGTCTGTGAGTCTGTGAGGCTCAGAGTTCATTGAAGTATTAAGTACATAAAAATATGGTTTCAATGCCAATTGAATGCGTTGGATCTTTCGAATCAAAAAGCAACACTACACTATACTACACACACAAAAAGACAACCAGTTTATCAACAAACAAACAAAACAAACGCACACACGCACGCACGCACACCAGTCAAATCCGACCAGTTGCATGATTGATCTACCATCCATTTGACATATAGTTGAGATGTTGCACGAACGCTGCTCCCACCCAACTTGAAGTTGGATTGTTCTACACTCTGACGTACACATCACACGGAAGCCCCCGCGGGAAGACCCTTCCTTGCTCGTTTGGAACTTGTGGGTGAACTCCACAACCCACAACCCACGACCCATGTGACTGAACCCTGACTTTGGGGGTGTACCGTCGTCACATGACCTTCTGAAGTACCCAACTCATGAGTGTACCTGGTTACATGACGTTCTCTCCATGTGATAGGTTCGTGCTCATGACCCTCACCCAACGACAAGACTTCTCCCTCTCCCCGCCTCAGTCCTATCACCGGTCCTCAGGCCTCGATTCGGAGCCGCTTGCCACGGACGGACTGAACTTCATGGGGCCGCCGCAAGCGGACAGACTCTCCTCGTTGCAGCCTGAAATCAAGAGGTCAAACTAGAGCTTAGTTTAGTTTAGTGCGCCAGGAATTCGTTCATATAGTTATGTGTAGTTTCAATTCTATTCACTCCTTAGCCTTAGTCTGGTGGGAAAAACACAAATGCCCACTACATCCCTCTACACGCTTGGCTTTGGGAGATCTCTCTGCGCTCTACGCTTCACTGTCTTGAGACCAATGGACCCTTTTTGCAGCAACTGTTTGACGTCACTTCTGATTGAATCTATTTGCGCCCGCTTCCGATGCTTCCCCAGCACATCCCCAGCTTTCCCCATCATTCACAAACACATCACAACATGACGACGTCGCACTTGTTGCACCCATCCTGGCGTTTCTCGTTGCCAAGCCCCGAAACCCTCAACCCCTCGCTCCAAAACACGTGAACGCGCCTCACCGTGGCCGCTTTGCGTGCCGCCTGAGCAAACAAATCCAGGCCCTGTAGACCTCGGAACGGTCCACAGGCGGAGAAGGCAAAGGTGTGGAACTCCCGAGGTCCTGGGAATCTGGATGGCCGAGGGTCGTTTTTAGGTCGATGGAGAGTTGTAGCCTTACACGTTGATGGACCATGTTGAGCTATTATGCCTGGTGCCAAAGATGCTGATCTTGGTGGAGTGGGATGAGGTTGGGATGCTTTTGTAGGGCACACAGCGGGAGAAGTCCCGTGGTGCAACAGCCCATGGTGCAGCCTCCCATACACCCCCTGCATTGTATCAATTGTATCACCATCTGTCACCGAGGTCTGCTTGATGAACTTGCACTTGCCAGTGTGTGTGTGTGTTGGCCACTATTTCCCGCCACTTCTGCTGCCCGCCGACAAAAAGTAAGACATCGAGATCTTCGTTAACGACCCGGCACCGGAGGCCCCTTCGGCCCGTTCGGCCCGTTCGGCCCTTCGATTCGCTCTCTTCTTCGGCCCCTCAGCCGAGCAAGCGACCTTGGGTCGCAGGCCTAGTCGTTGCTAGGTTGCCCTGGACAGCACAGCTGGAGCTGGGCAAGACTTCTTCAAAAGGGTGCTTCGATCTGACCAGGAGAATCCAGGAGACGGACTGACTTTGACTTGGACCTTCTTTAAGAAATCCTTAGCTTTCACAAGTCATCTTTTGAAGCAAGTTCTGAGACAAGCTGTGAATCTCTGCGTTCGTCGTCCTCCATGATCCCCAATTCCCCCCTTATTTCAATGGAACGAGTCGCCTCCGGCTTTGCAAGGCAGCAACACATTCACATGTTCTTTTTTCGTCTTCTAACTTAACTTCTAACGGTGTTAAGTACTACCCATGACTACTTCCTTGAGGCTTTGTCCAGGCCGTGACTCGTCGGACGTGCGAGGTCAGTGAGTCGCAAGAGTTCACTGAGTCCCCAGTCATCCGAGGAGAGGAGGGTTTCCCGGTTTCCTGGCCCTGCAGGTCAAACCGACCCAGGTCCAGTCACCTGGTCCTTTTAGAAGTCTCATTGACTAGAGTGTTCTTGTATGATCAACTCCTGCTACATCAATGAGGTCTTTGAATGTCTTTGACCTGTAGGGTGGAACTAACTCTTAACAAAGCAACATTTCTGGTCTCTTCTGGCTCTCGCGGAAGATCGACCACCAGTCGCGACCCTATCCCTCATAGACAGGTCGTTCTCCTGCACCATCTAGAATCTAAAAACATACGCAGCACGGTTCTTGCCTTGTATATCTTGTATGTGGGTCTCATGTTTGTATTGGCTGAAATGACCACCTGCTTCATGCTCCACTTCCAAGAAGCAAAAGGATTAATATCGACCGTGCTTCTGGCCACATGGCTGAAAGGTGCAGGAGCGCACCCACCGTCTATGGTCGGTCGCAAACAAATCTGAGCGGTTACACAACTCAAACCTTGGCTTCTTCCTTAGCAGGAAATGGCAACGCGAGTGGGGACATGGGAACCAATTCTCACTCCCTGCGACATGGGCTAACACCGCTGAAGGCTGAGGTTGTTCGAGGTCCAAAGAATCAAAGTTTCTGGTGGACTGATGTGGACTGCACATGGGCTTTACCTTGTCGCAGTCCGTCTTTGACCCAAATGGTCAGCTGATCATATTCACAGCGAATGAGATATCGCTGCCACAGTTTCCCCCTACATGGGCCACCGAGTCAGACTGAGTTGCTCTTTTCAGCCGCTGTGTGGCCAGAAGATTCCAAAACCCTCGCCCGTCCTCTACGACAGTCACGTACCAGAATCATTGTCTGGTCCACACCCTCCCTGAATCGGTGTAATGAAATGGGAGGACCTCCCAGTTCTTTTGAGGGTCCATGACTGAGTCCAATCTGCAGATCCCTCCTCCAGGACCTTCACAGTGACCGACATGACATGCCAGGATGAGGTGAGGCTAGTCCAGGTCACCGGAGGAGACTCCGAGGTCATGAACTCAAGCGCTTGAAGGTGCTAGCACTCGTATATTTGTTCCTTCAGACCTTGTGTAGATTGGAGACCACGGACCTTCAAAGGATTCGTTGCATCCAAAGAGGTCACGAACTAAAGGTCCTGGCTGTCCACGCCAAGGCGCAGCCCCCTTTGGCGTCTCGTCCCCCAAGCCTCGCTCCGAGTCGGTGCCGGGTCCAGCGCGGGACGGTTCAGCCATACAGCCATGGAGTCGAGTGGTGTTCCTGTCGGTGGTTGGGTGGGAAGACATGGGGTAGCCACGGCTTTTTCACTTGAAGTCGGAAGAATTCCACCTGAAGTATCACTGCAAAGACTGAGCAGTTGGCCTTGAAGCTCTTGCTCTTCGCCTGGGAGATTCAAGCAACAAACATCGAAGCAAACGAGATTTGCCGCCTGGTTGGTGGAGGTCTTGGTGTTCTACCTACCGGGTAGGACGTTTTCTTTGTCCTGACAATTGGCATCCTGAACTTTGGCATCTATTCGGGTATATTAACTATAGTGTCATGCAATGTCAATAGACATTGGTGTTATCTTATTTTTTGGGGGGCATAGTGAGGCCCTGCATTGTGACCACAGTTTTATGAACACGCCTGCAATTTGTTTTGGTCATTTGCTTTAATGATTCAGTGGATGTGTTGAGGTATTTGTCTGATTTGTTCGCATCCAAAAACAACTTAGGTCCATGCAATGCAACCATGTGTTACTGACATTCTACTCCAATCAGCCACCAAACTGTCAACCCCTGGACTGTCGAAGCATTGAAACGGCGAGGCAAAGGGTCCTCCAAAGTTTGGTGATCGAAGCCTCTTTTCTTTTGCGGGCGACCAGTTCTCTTCAGAACTAACTGGACATGTCGAGACCGGCTTGGGCCTCAAACCATCCTCAAGCTTGACTGAAGCCCTTTTCATCCCCGTGAGATCCGAAGATCCCCATTATAAAATGCCATGCGGAGAAACACATAACACCTACAGTTGGCCGATTGTTTCCCCACCCGAGAAGATACCCAATGTTTCCATCGAAATGTGTCCATCCCGTGCGGCCGAATGCTTTGGATTTGGGTCGATTCGCTTGGTCTTTCACGGCGAAGTCAGACCCTGCCTTCCGGCAGCAGCGGCCTTTTGCGCCAGCGGCAGCACAGCGTCAGCACGCCCAAGAGCAGGCTGGTAAAGGAGCACCACAGCCTCAGAGTCAAAAAGACGGAGTTGGTCAAAAGACTCGCTGAGGTCAAAGAACACGCAAAGGGTTTCCCTGTTGAGAGAGTTTGGAGGACAAAACTGCTCGACACTCTGCTCGATCTATCTATATACTTTGGGCACTACTTTGGGCCTATTTGGAACTGTGCAAGCGCAGATGTCACATTGATCAAATCACCTCGAAAATGACACATGGGCGCACCGTTTTTGTTGATCGAGGGATAGGACATGATAGGACCCTCAGAACCGTTGTGTTGGAACATGAGATGCATGAGATGCATGAACCCAAAGTCGTTCCGTCAGCCTTAAATCTGATGTTGCTGGTGAAATCGACGTCTCAATCACCACGGTGATGGCGATGGGCTTCATAGGCCACGTGTTGCTCCAATTGGGCATGATGTCCACCAGGGGCGGCAGTTCATCCCTAGAGGCCATGTCTTTCGTGGAAAGACTCTTCGATCTACTTTGCGGATCAGCTCCGTATCTTGCATTGGGCAAATTGTATAGAGGAGCACGATCCAAAAGAAGTGTCAATCAGTTTCTGGTCTCACAATTATTATACCAAAGCGTGTGGCTCTGGAGGTCACAGTTGCAAGCACTTCAAGTATGACTCGCTAAAAGCATGGGCTGCTTGATACAGGCATCGCGAAGAGACTCAATCACTGCGAAAACAGGTAGACAGTGTCTGGAGAGGGCTTCACCCTTCACCCGCAGCTGAATGGAAGAAAGGATATGAACATAAAACAAGCAACAGGCGATCGCATGCTATCCAAACTATAATAACTCATCCACTCTGACCCCTCCAATAGCTTACAAACCCTAAAAAGGAAACCATTCTCCCACCATATCCCACTTCATCTACTACACCTTCACAGCCCACCTTCACAGCCCACCCACTAACGGATCGAACCGTTCAAACGGATCCTTCTGCCGAACCGAGCGGCTGCAAACTCTGCGATTCGGCCGCGGTGGCCTGGGCGTGGGGCGTCAGGTTTGGGGTCGTGCGGGGCGGTATGTGGGTGTGTAGTTCAATGGGGAGAACCCCCAACCGATGGTTTCGGGAGGTTTTGGGTCTACTACTTTGCCTTCTAGAAGAAGGGGGATCTTTGAGAGGTCTCCTGTTTTTCATACACACCCATGTAGAACAAACAAAGAAAGGTCAAGTGACGTCAATCTACAAGGGATTGGGGCCGGTCTTGACGCGAATTTCGTGTCAGGTTTTTGCTCGCCGAGATGAGGGAAGAGTAAAAGATAGTAAAAGTAGGTGTAGTCATGTGTAGTCATGGGGGATTGGATGAAGGACCCAGAAACATGATTGTTTGAAGCAGGACCTGGAATAGGGAGACCCTGACTGACCCACTGGATGTGAGTCTATTTGTATGATCTATGTCCTCTGGGGTGTCGGTGTCCTGTTGTTTTGACACGTATGCGGGGGTCTGTATTTGACCCATGGAAAAGGTTTAATTGTTCATGTTTATACACCTGAAAAGTCATTGAAGGGAACGTGCCAAAACGACACCCCACATGGTCTGGCATGCGCGCTTTTTCCATCGTCCTAATGGGTTACATTCCAAGCACTGAGACCAAGACCGAATGAGACTCAGTGATTGAACCCTCCAAGTGAAGACATGAAAGACCATCAATGATTTTTTGGGAAACCCTCAACAGGCTTGTGTCTATGCTGTATTGCATATACGTATGTGCGTATGTGTTTGTCATCATTTGGGCGTGTGCTTGAACAGAGATACCACCGCAAGACGACCCCTGGGAAGATCAAACTAGACCAAAGACTTGAGAGTAGAAACGCCTTGAGAGTAGAAACCTAAGCCGATTTGGATTGCTTGAGGTAACCTCCGACAAACGGGAAGAGAGCTCCTTATAGATGGAACGTAATGAACTCATATGAACTCTTACACCAGGAGAAGCACAGGAGGGTGTTCACCCCATCCACATCTTTGTGGTAATACACCACTTGCACCTGAAAGGTGATACGACTTGCAAAACCTCACTGTTCACGGCGACCGGTTCTGTCCCAGCGTCGACCATCGAAGAACCGCCTGTGAAGGCGAATAAACGCACGATGTCCTGGTCGGAACCCAAACAGGTCGCGTCACATGCGGAACAAATAGACAGCGCCTGGAACCTCGGGAACTCCCGGGGGAAACTCCAGTGGTCGTTCACCCAGCTGTTTTGAACCGGGAAGAAGTGGAGACCCCCGGCGAATCTCATGGCTGAGCAAGCACAAAAAAGGAAACACCGCAGAAGCATGCGGAAACCACATTCTTGGGGAACAGCATGGGAACCGCCAGTTAGGAACAAAGCAACTGGGACATGGAAAGTGGGGCCAACAGAAGGTCCTGGAATCCCAGGTAGTCAGGCAGATCTTTTGGGGGACTATTTGCACCGCATGCTGGTCAGCTCCAGCCTGGAGCAACAACTGCACTATTTAGAAAGGACTTACCACTACCATTGTGAGCTGCCGCAATCAAAGCGGTTGTCCCATTTGCACGTGCACGCAATCCTGTCAGCTCCTCTCCAGCCTCATCAAGGCTGTTCTGCCATCTGCATCAGCCGCATCAGCTCCAGCCTCGAGCAACATGTTCTCCACTTCCAAATGGCCATTGTGAGCTGCAGCAATCAGGGCGGTTGTCCCATCCGTGAATACCACATTCTTGTCAGCTTCAGCCTCTTTTGTAGCAAACGCACCACTTCCAAGTGGCCCTTCAGCCGACAGTCGACTGTTCTGTTCTCCTATCTGTATCAGCTGCATTCTCACAGTTGGATACCAGTTCCAAGCCCCCCCATTCGGCAACAAAACAGAGGTCGACAGTCAGTTTCTGCCATGTTTTCTGCACCCCGGACGCCTCCGGTTCGGATCCAGTTTCTGAAAGCGAACTGGTCACTTCAACAACTCCCAGACACGACCCATGGGACTGCCATATATGCCGATCAGTTGGGGTGGTATGGGGGGTCCATGTAAGCAGAAATAGCATACATGGAGTGTCTGGGACTAGGTTCTCAAAAGAGGCAAAGACTTGTGCCTCCCAAACGGTCTCCTCGGGTGGAGGCCCAGCAGCACCAACACACTTGGAAATGGTCTGACAGGCACATGGTAGCTCGCCCGTATCTTCACTGAAGAGTCTTTGTGAAAACCGTGAGTATCCAAGCCAACCCACCAGGAGCTTCTTCAGATCCCTCAAAGCAGACTCTCCTCTCTCCACCATGTAGCCCAATACCTCGTTATGAAGCTAGGTGACAGTGGCACCTGAGAGTGATTGAAATGTGACGTGGTGATGCGTCATGGATGTGAATCGCCTCGGGGGGGCTTCAACAATTCAGATTGATTTATATACAACTATTCCAGGACCCTCCAAGGGGTGTCCAATGGACAACCCACACTACCTATAGGCTTCCATTGGGCACCCCTTGGAGGGTCCTGGTTTGTAAAATTGTAAAGTGCCTTGTTCAAGCCCCCCAAGGCGATTGCAACCGGGTCAAGAGGCATGGTATGAGTGAACATTGGCTTGAGCCATTGATGTTTCATCCCACAGCAACCCTTTTCCATGTTCATCATGTCCATGGTCCATGGTGTTAAACCATCTTGCTCCCCTTCAAACCCGAGCTTGTTCCAACAGCTTGAAGGAGTATATGTCAATAGATCTTGAACGCAAGCAAGGTTGAAAGCCCCGGACCATTAACACCCACTCCTTGAAGCGTTCTTTGTCCAACCGCTTGGCCTCGTCCCGATCATGCCGCCGGTGGATGCCAAAGCGACTCCAACACAAATCACCACCCTCCAGTCATCTCGCGTCCAGTCAATCTAGTGAAGGTCTTCACCAGAAACCTACTCAAGAGCGAGGTGGGATCTCTGTCCTCCTAGTCCTACTGGGCACCAAATCCCCTTGACAGCCTCAAGAATCATCTCTGAAGGTGATTTGAAGGCGCTCTCTTGAAGTGTCTAGACGTCACCCGACCCCGACCCTCCACGCGGGTGATCCTATGGTGATCCTAGAGCTGAGAGCACGAGGAGGGTTTGTCCTCCCCGACCTCAACGCGAACGGCAAAACACCGAAATGGCACCAGGGAGTCTGGACATGCGAATGGTAAGAAGGGGCAATGATATGCCCAAACGCCGGAGCCCTGGGGGTCCTGATTCGGAGCCCAAAGCACCGTGTCAAACGTGCCAATTTCTTTATAGAGAGGGAGTGTGTGGAGATGGAGACGTGAACGGTTTTTAAGACTCCCATCCGATCGCAGTGTCTGACACCCACCCACCGCGGTGCTGGCCATGTGTGCTCCACAAGCACGCCACCCGCCGAACAGCGTGCCGTCCAAGGGGCTAAGAAGTTCCCCACCGGCGTCGCAGCCAGAACACCCAAGGTCGTAGCCGCGTATTGCCTCAGCATCAGCAGAAACATGAAAACGCGTGGTCAACAATCATGTCATACTCCTTTTCACACTGGGCCCTTTCTTGGCTGCCGGGAGCCCATGCGTTGGAGCTGGCTGAGACTCCTTCGCAAACCGGGCTAGCCAAGACTAGCCAAGTGCTAGAGGATCCAAAGAGAGCAGGAAAAAAGGGATTCAGAACTGACCTCTCATCATCCTCAAAGAAAGGAACTCCCTTTGAATTTTCCACAAGTGGGACGGCCCTTGGACCATGCGTGGAGGTTGATGTCAAACAAAATTATTCCCCAAAACATCTGATGATATCGGATGAGTCATGAGGCATGACTTTCAACTTCCCAACAACCCCCCAAGAAAATGACTTCCATCTCCCGTGCATGTGTTGGGAATTTCCACACATGAGTGAAGAAGTCTTCGTCCCATACTGAGCTTTCGGATCCTGGCATTATATAACAACATATAATATAACAGCATCTTTTGTAGACGATAAGGTAGTACAACTAACTTATTATATATATATATATAAACAGGATGTCATGTTTGGACACTGGACATGTTTGGGTCTCCCGGTGTCCTAGATGGAGGGCCAGGTGGGCGTGTCTTCAGGATGTGTCTGTGCTGGTACATACCTGTGGCCGCCTGAATATATAATTTGATCCGTCTATGAGGCATATGGGTGTGTAATGGTATGTATGCCCAATGGGTAGACTGGTCTATGTTCCTTCTTTCAGGGGGTCCAATACACATGCACACCTATACCGTATACCTGTAATTACACGTTGAAACACTGGATCTATATATGGCCTTCACGATCAGGCTGGCGGTGTGGCTAAAAAGTATGGGGAGTCCCAGCAATTAACATGCATGACAAAACACTTTTTCCACCACCCTCACAATGGAAATCCAACCGTCGTTTCTCTGCAACTTTGTGCCAACCAAGGAACGGTATCCTGGCGACCTCGAAGAGGCTCTGAGCATAGAACAGGTAGTAGCCCTGCATTTTTCAGTTTGGGTCCGCTAGGTAATGGGCCACCCAATTTTTGCTCACATAGAGGATATAGAGGAGCTAGTAGCCCTATACTGGGTCTGTGTGTCTCAGCTCCACCGGCGTCGTGTGGAGATCGCCCTTCCACAAACCATGCAAGTCAAGGTTCTCCATTCACCCCGGTTTTAGCGAGATCAAATTGAGAACAGACCGAACTGACGGTGGTTGAGAACGGTGGTTGATCCTGCTCTTGAACCTAGAACTGAGGTGATTAACGATGAACGTTAACAGAATTCGAAGTCAAGTGAGAACGGTGGTTGATCCATTTCACCTGATTCTCCATGCGAGATGAGATTCAGGTCGTCCTTTGCCTTCGGTCCCGCTGGCGCGCCAGCGCCGTTCAACCGAAACGGCCGTTGGAGAGGGGCATTCACCGGTCGTTTCATCAACTCGCATCCTGCTCATACACCCTGCCGGTTGCATCAACTCTTATAATCCGAACCCAATTCTTTAAATAAGGAAACGAACCGCCGAACTGACGATCGAATCGAACCCACCCTGAACTCTTAGTTCTTCCTCCCGATGCGCGCCTTGGTGGCCATTCCAAAGATGTTCAGAAGGATCAGATTGGCCCGCCAGGTGTCCTTGTCCTCAAATGAGTCAGACTGACCGCCAATGGCGAAGCTAGCGCGCTCCCGGCAAGGGAGCCGCTCCACGCGCTCCAGGCACGTTATCATCGAAGACCAGATCAGATCAGTCATTTTGGTCACCTCCCAGACCAACAGTTCCCAGACACTCCATGGGACTGCCATAGGACTGCCGATCAGTTGGAGTGGTTGACTGGGGGTCAATGGATAGGCATATATGGCAGTCCCATGGGTCGTGTCTGGGGTTGGATCGACAGGGTCAAACCGCTGCGACTCGCGCTCCAAACGACTCAGACTCAGATGCCCCTCACGAGGTCCCCCCGCGTTTTTGACCAAAAGGGGGACCTGAAGAGGGTGAAACTCACTGCTGGAGGGGACGAATGTCACATTTGGATGGCTCAATTTGTTCAAAACCACTCACTCCGTCTCTTCTGTTTCGGTGTATAAAGGCGTAGTGGGGGTCATTATCCGGTGCATTCTTTCATTGTTTTTGGGTCGAAACCGGACCTGCGGCCAAGTTCTCGACTCGACCCGCGCACTCAAGTCTTCCTGCCAGTTTGGAGGGTCGCATGGAGGCTGGAAGTCATGGCCAATCCTCCGAACAAGTGCCTCACTAGAATATGTTTGACCTCCGTTTTGATCGGAACTGATCATATTTGGGCACCAAAACCAGGGGTCACTGAGGTTCTTGGTCCTTATATTGGAATGCGTTTGGGTGCCTTTGGTCAGTCTTCAGAAGCAGCGACGGAGCCCTCACTAGCATCGTTTGATCGGCCAGGGCACGATGCCTGAGAAAAGCAAAAAGACCACCAGCGCCGGCATGGGCACTGTGAAGAGGCCTTGTTGGGCTCAAAATGGCTCCAACGATGCGGATCTGCCGCGAAGCAGGTCTGTCGGACCCCATGGAGAGAGGACCCCATTTTTTCTGGGAGAGATTCTCAATGGACAACGGACAAAGAAACATCTGCCAATGGTGACGAGTCCTTGGCCCATGGTTTGCCTCATTGCATGGTGATTGAAACATGGCATAGGCCTCTGTGGAAGAAGCCCCCGAAATCCGGCGTCATCACCGGTCTTGAAACATCTTGAAACATCCCAAAGCTCAAACCTCAGGATCCACACCCGATGGTGCAGGAAATTCCCTCTCTCGTGCTTGCGGTTGGATGTCTGATTGGATGTCTGATGATGTCTCATCTCATATACTTCCGTCTCCAGTTGAACATGGAGCTTTGTCTGTCAAGCATTGTTTTTTGCGCGGTGTTCGAAACTTCGGGACTTCCTCAGCTTACCCAAACCATCCACTATAGCTAGCTGGGAGTCCCAGTGGTTCCAAAGACTAAACCCATAGACCGAACGAATCCCTGGTTCCTTGTATCCACTGGGTTAGGTGGACGATCCACTGGGTTAGGTGGACGATCCATGCGTGTTCCGTCCGTCCGTTTTGTTTGTCCGTCCGGTGCATCGAACGGAGCCAGGCCACCTTTCAGCAAGCCACCCGTGATGCCTTAGTGGCGGCCCGAACGTCAGACATGTTTCATCAGGCATACTGCGGGAGATATTCAACGAAACGCAAAGAGAGTTGATCCATGTTTTGGCCACTTGCCAGTGGGGTTCATGACGAATCCCCACCTAGAACCTGGTCAGGTCAGGTGGTCTCCCAAGCTCCCCACCTGGTCAGACACCGAAGCGGAGCGCCCAGGGCCGCTCCCAGGAAGTCCAAGACTCGACGATATTTGGCCCCCCACATAAAGGAAGTTCCTGAACCTGGGTCTTTGACGAGTCAGACCTACTTCTTTGAAAAGCGTATGTGCAGACACTGCAGACAGAATGATGCTCGGGTCTTTGAGTTCAGAAGTAAAGGAAGTTCGACTAGTCAGACCATTCTTTGAATAATCGACTGATTTAAAATATAAGTTAAAAGGATGTGAGTACCATGAGGTGCGAATATTTGTGGTCACCCAGCATTTTCTAAGAGTTATATATATATATATATCGTCTCAATTTTGCTTCACATTCTGCGAGGCAGCCGATGGAAAGTCGGTGAGTCCAACTGAATTCCAGTGAACCAACGACCGGGAACTTTCTTCTTCAGTAAAACAGATTGGAATGTTCTGAATACTAAATACCATGAAGAACGCCGTACTGACTTCCCATGACTTCCAAAGAGCAAATCAGGACTACTCGGAGAAAAAGGAAAGACATGCCCAGACATTGCGACATTGCCAAAACACGCTCCGTTTGGCAATGGGCGCCCTGCCTTCCGGTCCCTACCTTCAACCGGAATTGCTTCGACCCATCCGACCACTCCGGGGCGCGTCCGGGCGCCTCGGCTCCCCCGAACGACTCTGGAGGGGTGCTCGCTCAGCGTTGGTGTCAAGATACAATCGAAGAGTCCGATCAGGTAGCTACCGAACAAACATCTCTCCGGGCCGGCTTCAAGATGAAGAAAACGCAACTGATGTGTTCTGTCCTGTTGCGAGGCCACCTTAGCCTCCTTTTGCTTCAAACCTTCTTTTCACCCGAAGAAATGGCAAATCGTGGTAGATCTATGAACAAAGCGAGGTCTGTGTGCTGTCCAGCCACCGAAGAGGACGCACCACTTCCAGTTGCCCCAAACGTCAAAACGTTTGCTGGTCTCCTTCTGCATCGGCACCGGCCTTGCAAGAAGACCGACGGCGACTTCTCGATCGGCGACATGACGGCGACGAGTGGATGTGCAAACACTCCATGGGACTGCCATATATGCCTACATTGGGACGGCTTTGGGGGTCAATGGATAGGCATATACCAGCACCCTCCAACAGGTCACCAATGAGCGCCTGTTAGGACCAAAAACGGTTGGTAGACTGTTAGATTGTCATGTTTTTTTCAACTACTTTTTGGGATCTTGGAGGTGGAACCCACTCCCGATCCAGCCACGGCCAGGAAGGTGCACATCGCTGGCCTGACGTGGGCTTCAGGCAGAGAGGCATGGAAGAGGGATGAAGATGTAGAACATCTAACCAAAACAGTAAGGCCCAACAATTTCAGCAAAGAATGCTACATCAGTGGAACAATTTTGCACATACCATATCCAATTTCAACCTTCCTCGATCAACACTGATCGACGCAGCCATGGTGAATAAGCGTCCGAGATCATGCACAGATGGTGCAGTGACACTTGGCCTTATGGGTTTGAACATACATGATCAGGGTCTCCTGAACTAGAAGTTGGATGGGGACCATTGGCACTTAGGACACTTGCAAAATGTATGGCGCTTCGAATTGATGTGGAAGAAACCAAAAAACATGGTGATCTCCTTCCTGGCGGAGACATCAGAATTTTGGGAAACCAATGGCTACGTGCAGCATGGAAGGATAGCCAGTTGAGCAAGGTCCCAAGGGAAAGGCAGGTGAGGCATGCGCTCTACATACTTACAAAGAAAACAAATCTTCGTCGTGTTCTCAGGTTGCAGTGGTTTGAATTGTTTGCAACCTGTGTGTGTTTGGGGTGCTGGGTAGGATATAACACTGGTATACTGGCCAAGGAATGGGAAAGGATGATGAGGCACTACACCAATGGATTGTGGAGCAGGCATTGATTGGTAACAGTTAAAGTTTAAGAAACAAAATACGGTCAGATTTGCTGCGCCACTTGAACCCCTGGGAGGCAGAGCGGTGCCAACAGGTTCTCCTAGCCCATCAAAAGCAAAAACGAAGTGGATTCACCTGGGAATCGCCCAACACCAAAAAAACAAGGCTTGAACAGTCATCAAAACCACAGCACAAAAAGAACCTTTCTTGCAATGGGGGGTGGACTGTTTCATTGTTGCTTTAAAGCTGGTCTCGACACATGTATTGCCCTGAGCTGAGGAAGTCCCGATCAATTGATGACATGGAGACCCAGCCGATGGATATCGACGCAAATGTGGAGGTGCCAGTCTTTGAGATTGACCGGCAGCCTGGTCAATTATATTTACTTAAGCCTCTCGCATGTTTTCTTTGCCGCACGTTTATTGGAATATGTTGTCTTTTGGTTTTCCTTCGTGGCTACATGGCTACATCCAAGGAAACATAAATGTGATGATCCTGAGAAACCATTGGGAACAGTTTCTCGTATTTTGCTCAGTCAGCCCCAATTCACGGATCAATATACCTTTAAGATCTCATGATTTGGACCCGAAGTTGGATTTGGGAATTTGGGATTAAAGCATATGTTCCCTCAAAAATATCCTTGATCAGTCGTAGGGCCAGCTTGGGAAAACAGTAAGGAGAGCGCAAGTCGAGCACATCATACGGGTGCAACGGCAGTGAAACATGAAGGTGACAGTGGTGAGAAGCGCAATGGTGAAGCAGCTCCTGACCCAGCAGCAACAGATGAAGACTCAGAGGGTGATGAGCAAGAAGGAAACGAAGCAGAAGAAGAAAAAGAAGGCGCTGAAGTGCAAGGTAAAGAAGAAGCAACAAAGGCTGAGGATGAGCCCAACGATGAAGCGGCCTCTGATCCCCCATCTTCGGATGATGAGATGTCAGAGGAGGAAGAGAAAGAAGGAAACAAAGCACAAGAAGGTGAAGGTGCTGAAGTGCAAGGCGAAGAAGCAACAAAGGCTGAGGATGAGCCCAACGATGAAGCGGCTTCTGATCCCCCATCTTCGGATGA